ACTTTCATTTTCGATACCAAAATAATCCTTCCGTCAGTTAAATGACAAGTGGCACGTTAAAATGCCAGCAAATCAATTCTTTTTTCTTCTTAGCTGAGTAAAGGTCCAAATAAGGACTTGAACTTTGGTATTTTTTCTATTTAAGGATGTAAACTTTCTCAGTTTTTAAATAAGGCGATTAACTTTCAATGTTTTTCTAATTAAGGATGCCAACTTTGAGTTTTTTTCTATTTAAGGATTAATTGATGGAGATGCTGACGTGGCAAACGAATTTTAAGCAGATGTTTTAAACGGAATGCTAATGTGTATAGATATAATTTTAATTTGCTGATGTGTTTGCTGACTGGACCAAAAAATTGATTAAAAAAAAACAAATCAGATTAGTGGGCCATTTACCTTGGAAGATCATACGACAAAGCAAAAAAGAAAATGGTGAACCCTAGAGTTTGACACGGCGGGAAGAATCCCTCCAAAGTCTCTTTGACATTTAAAGTTGATGATGTTCTCCCAACAACCAAAATAAAAGTGCCAAAGAATCCATGCTTTACTCTGATTCTACTGTCTAATTCTGTAGAGGACCAGACTTGCTTTGAAGGACATTCTGTTGCTTTGAAGGACATTCTGTTGCTTTGCAGACTTGAAGTGTCTTTCTTTTCATCTTTTCAAGGTAAAATTTCATGAATTATTTGTTAAACTATTTTGAATCACGTGTAAAGAATGAGATTAGCAATAGTTTATTTTAAAATTTTATGAATCTTTCAAATAATTTATGTCCCATGTCATAAGTCTAATATTTTTAATCCTTTATTCTGTTTTGTTCGGTTGGTGGGTGTGCATTACTTTTTTTGGATTGATTTTTGTTGGTTGGCCTTTACATTACTTTTCGTGGACGTTTGTTCGGAGGTGGGACTTAGACTATGTTTGGTAGTGGGACAGACCATATATCATGGGTTTTTTTAATTATTATTATTTTTTTCAAAAATTGGTGTTCTGTTAATATATGGAATTTTTAATTGATTGCACTTTACTTTCTGTACTTCTCCAGGATGCAAGGAAAGACTAGGTTGAATAAATATTATGGTGGGGTTTTAGTGAGGTCCCCTGTGGTTGATTATGTTGGAGGTAGCTTAATTAAAGATGATGAAGTAGACCCTGACTTCCTCTGTTATAAGGACATTGTTGATGAAATAAATAAAGTTTGCTCATATGGTATAGAGAGTATGTTTTATTCACTCCCAAACCAACCAACTTCAAATGTTTTAATGCCTTTAAACAATGATAGTGATATTCTGAAGATGGCTAAGCTGTTGATTGCTCATGGAAGAATGAATATATTTGTTGTGCATTGTGGCAATTCAAAAATTTCAAATCAGTGCATTAATGAGTTTAGTGATGATAAAAATGATGATCTTGAATTTGATAATGAAGAATATGCAGTCCTTTTTGATGTTGGTGTCATTAGTGATAATGATGATCCTAAGTTCTTGAGAGCAATTAACAACTCTCAAGGTAATTTATCAGTTTTTGTAAAGCCTATTTCTACAAGTCAAATATTTGTTGCAGTTGAATCTGATGCACCAAATGTTGTCAATAATCTAAGTGTTGGAAAAAGGGGTCTAGGAAATAGGGGGAAAAACCGACCAAAAACAAAGAGGAAGAGGCTTAGTCAATTAATTCTTCCTGAAAACTTACTAGAAAATAGTGTTCCTTATGATCCCTTAGTTGGTAGCCAAACTTTGAATGTTGGAGGTGGGGAGTCGGATTATATTGATAGTGATGATCTTGGAGAATATGATTCAAACAATTTTGAAGATGAATTTTCTGTTAAAGAATATGCTGTTATAAGGAGAACAACTTGCCCAATTTATGTTAAAGGAAAATAACAGATATTCCGGTGTTTGAGGTTGGTATAAGTTTACTAACTGTGATGAGTTTAAAGAAGCCATTAGGACGTATGCTGTCTTGAAGGGTTGTGTTCTTGAATGGTTGAAGAATGATGCAACCTC